TCTTCCAATGTCATTTTTATTCTTTAGACATCTTCTGGTTTTTTATTTGATATGATATCATATTTCCAGAAATCTCATGTCCCAAAACTGTTATGCCATACTCATTCCCCGCTCTTCAAATGATGGCACAACAATGAAGTGGGACCACATTTTTATGCTATGTAGCAGCATCTGGAGTGTGGGACATAAGGTGGGATAATATTTTTAGGACAGGGGATCCCCTGCACATACTTCTTCCCTTAGGCTCAAGCAGCTTGAGAGTAAATTGCATAAATGGTCCCTAATTACAGGTGATTTTCCATGTTTAGTTCTCAATTACAAGATATTACATAAACCGTCCTCAAATTTTGAAATTTTTTTCCATAAATAGTCCTTTAGGTCAAATATGACAATATTTTTTCCATATATAGTCCCTGAAGGACCGAATATGGAATAATTTTCAAAGACTGAGGATCATTTATGTAATATCTTGGAATTGGGGAGTAAATATGGAAAACCAATTGTAATTAGGGAGCATTTGTGGAATTTACTCGCGACTTGGTTATTGAATTTGATGTCAATGATATGTGTATATATTTGCTGTATGAACAGTGGAACAAATCAAAATGACTTATTATATTCTTCCTTTGCTTACTCTCTAAGTTTCTAAAATGTCAAGAAACAAAATCCATGTTTTCAGGCAAATAGAAAGCAACTGGGTACGTATTCCGCATTTGCAATTTTCAAGAATCAGCAAGAAGCAAATGAGGCATATGAGAAGCTTGAAGGTACCCAAGAAAAGGTATTTTTATTCACAACTCGTTTTCGCAACCTCGTTTTTTCTCCTTTTCTCTGAGTTTTAAAGTGTCGCAATTGATGTTCTTTCATCTTGTAACAAACACCACCATAATCAGACAACTTTGAAGCAAGTAGATGGGAATTGAAAAATATGGCCATGTTCCTTTTCCCTGTATTTGGGAGACTACATATCATCACCATCATTAGTATTAGGAATTTAGGATTAATGCAAATACTCTCAGAAATTTGAGATTTTATAAGAATATTTCAAGTTAACATAATTATCATCGGTGTTCCCAAAATTTTAATACTTTTAGTATAATACTTTCATGTCGATTATATATGCGCCTCAAGAAATGAGGTGATCCATACTAAGGCTTTGTTTGGGATCAACACTTTTTCATTATCATTAGCATTGCCAAGGAACTAACTCAACCAAAAGCTCAAGCTTGTGGTTGTGGCCCAGGAGTGATTGTTATATACTCCAACAAGCATTTTAGATGAATTTTTGAATACACTAACAGTTATTGTCCTATAGCTTTTTTCATAACTCTGAAGCTAAACGTTAAAGCCAATGTCAAACAGAGCCTAACACTTGGATTGCTAACCAATGTATATTTCGTCTAGGACACTTTCGGACGGCCTCAGAAACTCGTTTCGTTCCAACTCAAAACTGAAGTGTCCGGGAGTCTTTGCGTTCGGAATATGGCTTGTGGAGATCCTGACGAAAACCCAACAGCCAAACGCTCCTTACAAGACGAGGAGGAGTCCTTGGAGGAGAAATCCAAGAAAGTCAAGACGGATCATCTTCATCGTGATGATCAAGGCGAAGAAGAAGAAGAGCATGACATGAACAATGGCAGCGAGTGTGGGGCCCACTCTGCGGAGATCGAACGGTTGTAGCGAGAACTGAGACAAAAAGACAAAGAAGTCACCAGCTTGAATCGAATCACCGTTGCTCTCGCCGTGCATTTTCGAGTGGTAGTCCCCCCCCCGCCGCAGTTTTGATTTTTTTACCCAAGGTTGGATGTATTTGGTTTGTGTATTTATTATGCTTCTCATTGTAGTTTAAGAGTGTCATAGTAGAAATCTTGTTTTCTGTGTTGAGTTTTACTGAGTTGGGGTTTTGAAATCTACCCGACATTGGGTGCCTGGATTTTACTGTGCCGCTGTAAGTTTAGAGTGTGACACGGTGAAAAAGTTTTGTACTCTCTCCGTTCCAAATTATAATGCATGTTTACTATTCACAAAGTCAAACTTTATTTACTTTTTTTCTCTATTTTCATTAGCAATTTGATTAAATAAAATATTGTTGTCACTATTAGTTTTGTAGATATTTTGATGTAGTATTTTGATATGTAATTTTTATTTTTTTTAATTCTATACCATTTGTCATATAAAATAATTTGAAAATAACTTCAGTCAAACATTGTAAACCGAAACAGACATTATAAAATGGGACGGAGGGAGTACTATTGTTGAGTTTTGAAGCATAGACAATAATGTCACTAAAGATTCTCTAACAACCATTATCATGGTTGAGAAGTTAAAATCTACTCCGTAGAAAATAATCTACAATTGCAGATCTTTTCTTGTTAGCTCAAAAAATATATCTACAACATAAAATATACAGAGTAGAACTTTTGGCCATTTTTTTAACATGCTATGTTTATAGAATTAACATGTCATGATAAATGTATAAAAGTTGATTTTTTTTACACACATTTTGAATTAATTAATTCTATTGTATTTCTGCTCTTTTTTCTCTTCATCCAAATATATAAAATAACAACAATATTTTCTATCTCCTTTCTTTATTTTCTTTATTTTTAATTTCTCTTTTGATTCAAACAAAGACTTCAACAAACCTTCATTTTAAATAAACTCTAACCTTAAGAGTTTCCTAATCTTTTGTCAAGTTCCAAGAATGTGGGCAGTGTTTCCCTTTTAGGAGGCAACATAGGCATTACTCATAATATAGAGTACTACGTAATATAGAGCATACAAACATAATACTTCATAATTGCGTTTTGAGATAAATAGATTGGTACTCCGTATTAAAATTATATGCAATTTAATATATTTATCCATAATTTATGGGCAAATTTTTAAAAAATTGAACACAAAAGTCAAACTAGGAAGAAAAAATATTGGACGGAGGGAGTATATAATTAAATGTTACGGTGAAATGAATTTGTGACTTAAAATGCATAAAAATTATCCTCATAAGAAAAATGAGATTTACACTTTAACTTCATAGAGTTTAAGAAAATCGTTAAAAAGTACTCTGTAAAAGGTATCTGCAGTTAAAAGTAAAAAGGATGTGTGAGTGGAATTCATTTAGAAGAGCAACATATTCATTTATTAAAAGGGAAAGTGCACAAGTGTAAATTTCATTTTGGGACATCCAAAAAAGCAAGTTTAAATTTCACTTTGGAAAGAAGTGTGCAACATTTAAGAACAATATTATGACATGAGATGCATTCTTCACATTTAAGAACAAAGAATTTATTGTGCAACGCATGAGTACAAATCCAGTAAGAACCTTAAAAGAAAGTTAATCAAGAGAAAGAAGTTATCTTTTCTGTTGGCAATTAAGAGTTTCATACTCTATTTGTCAGGTTCCAAGAATGTGAACAGTGTTTCCCTTTTAGGGGGTAAAATAGTGCATAGAGAATTTGGGTTCATTACTATTTTCAAGATCATAAACATTTTCTACTGTACAAATAGAATGAATGTAACCTTAACCATGGTTTGAAATAAACCATACATTAGATATTCCCATACAGCATTAAACTCTCATCTACATGACTGACCTCTTTATATAGATGTTCCAAATGCACAACAGATGGAAGCTGAAAGAAAAATGGCAGCCAAGCCTTCTCTTTCAACTCCCAAGATTTTCACATTTGCTCTCATCTCTGTTTGCCTATCCCTCATTCTTGTAACCACTATCGAAGTCTTAGGAAGAACATATGAAAACCGCCCAAGATGGGTCTTCCCTAATCCGGTCCAGAAACCCGGTTGGTATCAAGTATTGGAAAGCAGAAACGTAACACGAATGAAAATCGGTATAGTGAATGTGCATAACATGGAGAATGAAGTTAGGGGTTTAGTTGGAGAACCTGAGCTAATGAGTGTAGATTTTATTCGTGTTAACGAAACTATCCGATGGACAGACCTATACCCGGAGTGGATAGATGAGGAAAAACCCGAGAAGTGTCCCGAAATCCCAATGCCACGTTTCGAAGACTACAAGGGTATAAATGTCATTGTAGCTAGGGTTCCGTGTGGGGGTCCCACCGATGTGTATAGGTTACAAGTGAACTTAGTGGTGGCTAATCTTTTGGTGAGGATAAATGGATGGGAAGATCATGAGAGGAGTTATAATGAAATCCATGTTGTTTTCATAGGCTCATGTGAACCCATGTTGGAGATTTTCAGGTGTGAGGATCTGTTGTGGCATGAAGGGCATTCATGGGTATATAAGCCTGACTTGAGGAGCCTCAAGCAAAAGGTGGCCATGCCGGTTGGAAGTTGCCAGCTTGGGCATCCATTTGTTGAACAAGGTAAGTTTGAGTTCTTCCTTTATGTGGGAGTTTGGTTTTAGGCAGGCACTATTTTGCTACTCAATCAACCAGATCTTCTACCAAACACTAACCATTGTGTTAGCTGATTCAGCTAATAAAAACAATAGTGCAGTTAGTTTCTATAAACTTATTCAAAAATATGCCAAATATCCCCTCCGCACGGATTTAGTTGTCCACTTTTTTGTTTTTGTTAGTCCGAAATTAGGTTTCCACTTTCTATATTCAATATTAAAAAAATTATGAAGAACACTCTAAAATATCCTAGAGATATGGTATGAGCATTGATGACATGAATGAGCGACAAACTCATTCAAAGGAGTTAATTGACATTTTAAACCCATTTCTTAGAAATCAGATTTTTAAGAAAGTGGACAAGTAAATCCAAATGGATGGGGTATATTTTAGACAATTCAAAAAAATTCAGCTCATTTAGTCACTCCAATCATTTAACCAAAGTTACTTTACCAAACAGAATCATACTTTTGAGTTCTAGATTTACCTCCTCCACGGCTCACTGTGGGATCTTAAGGGCCTAATGGCCTATGATCAGTGAAGCTGGAAACCTACAGTAGAAAACAAACAAACAAACAAATATAGTTATACAATTATTCAACCTACTTATACAAGTGAGAAGATAATTTAAAGATATAGAGATTATATATTTTAGCTGAAAAAGTGATATGTCACACGAATTGAGGTATGTAAGACCATCTTACATTGATCTCTGTCATGATACTACCTCAAAGTAGAGAGTAGAGCAGATGGTTACTCCAAAATTCCCCTTAACCCACAAATAAAACTACACCTAGAGAGATCAAATGTAATAAAATCCTTCATCATTAGCTTGTTGGGTTGTTTTTAAATGCATGTATATAGCTGTAATCTTGTGTCATCTGAACAGGTCAAGAGATGCGTGAAAGAGCCTTTAACAAGACCCTAAACCAGCCAAGAGAGGCTTATGTATCTATCATACATTCATCAGAATCTTATGTCTGCGGAGCAATAGCTTTGGCTCAAAGCATCAAACAATCCACCTTGACAAAAGACCTTGTCCTCTTAGTGGATGAAACCATCTCCCAAAAATCGATTCATGGTCTCAGAGAAGCAGGATGGAAAATCAAGAAAATCAAAAGGATCCGAAGCCCCCATGCACAAAAACGTGCATATAATGAATGGAACTACAGCAAACTTCGAATATGGCAACTTGTAGAGTACGATAAACTCATCTTCATAGACTCTGATCTCATTGTCCTTAGAAACTTAGACAAGTTTTTCGCATACCCACAAATGTCAGCAGTCGGGAATAGCAGACATGTTTTCAACTCCGGTCTAATGCTAATCGAACCATCAGAGTGCACTTTCAAAACCCTAATGGAGAAAACAAATACTACGGGATCATACAATGGGGGAGATCAAGGGTTTCTGAACGAAGTCTTCTCATGGTGGCACCGGTTTCCATCTGGCTTAAATTTCATAAAGAACTTCAAGTCAGTGCAGGGCGAAAAGCATGATGTGCCAAAGAATGTATACACTATACATTTCATAGGGATGAAGCCATGGAGGTGTTATAGAGATTATGATTGTAACTGGGACAACATAGACAACCAACATTTGGCGAGTGACATGGCTCACGAAATGTGGTGGAAGGTTCATGACAGAATGCCTCAGAATTTGAAGCAGTATTGTGCTCTGAAACCATGGGCAGAAGCAGAAATAAGAACGTGGAGGGAAAAGGCGAAGAATGCGAGTTTTGCTGACGGGCATTGGAAAATCCCAGTGAGGGATCCAAGAAGAGGTTCCTATATGTGATTATTATTCCCATCTACATTTTCAAGTAGGATTCTACTAGTGGATAGTTAACCACATACCTTAATTTTTCTTTGGATACTGTTGGTCAGATAGTCCATAACTATTTTTTGCACACGAATTAAAAATGATCCTTAAGGTAGTACGAACAATCAATTTTATATGCAATTCTCAGTTTACCCTTTGTATAGTTAACAATTTCCTATGTATGAATAATATGTAACTTTGATGTTCTTGAATAAGTAGGAATGAAGTTGGAACATAAGAAAAGTAAAAGCCCATACCGATAAAGAAATTGGACTATCTTTGTGGGAAAGACAAAAATAGAATTATGGAAAATATTTGGTTGGGGTTCAAATAAGCATCCACCAAAAAATAGCAAAATGTAATGATAACCATACCACAAACTATATGTTGACAATCTTAATGGATGTTGATCGTCTGGAACACTTTAGGGCATCTTTGAGATGAGGATTTTGGAGAGGAAAGGAGTAATTTTTAGTTTTAAGAAATTAGTGGATTACCTTGATAATTATTCGAAAGGAAAAAAATGATAATTTAATGTAAACTCAATGTCATAGTCATTAATTCACTACAATAACACATACATAATCCCCTTCATTTTATAACAAAAAATGACCTCTCACATCCCTTCCCCTCTAAAACACCCATCTCAAACATGCCCTCATGGGTCTCTGATATACAAACACAGATAAAGAGGAAATATGCATAAAGGTACATACCCACCTATTGTCTTGCTTTCAAGAGGAGTTCTTGAAATAGTTGAGAAACAGCTGGGCAAAATATGTATACTGGTGCTAGTACACGGATCTGAAACGGCTCAAGCTGTAATAATAAATGCATACCACTTTGTTGTGTGCCTTATTGAAGTTATCCGATACCAAAATACTACAGAACAATTAAGTTATCAGCGAATCTGATTTTTATCATTTCACTCAATTTTAACATTATTGGATGCTTATCTACAACACGCCTTTCTCCAGATAACCAGCATTTTAATTGAAGATTTCAAGTAATCCAAAACAAACAAGTACAAAAAGTACATTATCGTAAAACAATGCCACTAATGGATCCATATATTGTAATTCTATATTTTTCTACCAGAAATAAGTGATTAATTATTTTCATATCAGAGATCAAACTGATATTGTATTAGTTCCCAAAAAGAGGAGATAGTAAGTATTAACTGCATACAAGAACATGTGCAAATTGAACTAACCATAATTGGAGAAGTGCCTACCTGCCCTACCAAATGGATTTCTAACACTTCCATATGATCAGGATAATACACATATATAGACTAATAAACAAAACAAAGTATATGTCTCATCCACAAGTTGGAAGTTTATCTAGAGCAGATGTCCTGTAAAGTCATTTCAAAGATTATTTTTCTTAAATCTATACTTGAGAACCCTTGTTAAACTCTGGTCACTGGTGAAGTGCTATGTCAAATCTCAAGTATTATAGCGATTAAAAGCTAATACATGATTCGAACACCCGGAATTGTTTTCAATATCTGGTTTCACCGTTTCCAATGAATACTTTGATAAATTGGACATAAGGAACCCTACTATGTACAAACCACTTAATTAATTGATGCTTCTGATAGGAGCAACTTAGTGACAAAAAAAAGAGCTCTGCAGCACAGAGCTTTGGTCAGTTTACAGAATGAGTGAGAAGTTCCCAAAGTTAACTTTGGCCAGGTTTCACATTTCTTTTCATCAGATATGCATTGACTGTGATAGTGAAAGATCTTGACGCCCAAACAATTTTCAATATCCACACATTTATTTCTGCAACGGCTTGTAAGTGCTCCCCAGGGAACCAACTCGGCAACTCCCTCCAATTTAAAGACTCAGATCCACAACTAACAAAGCAGTACCTTTTTGCAAGATAATCTTCAGAGAATTGCTCATTGTAGAGCTTGAGTATCATTTCAATTGGCTTGTGATTAGTTTGAAACATTGAAAATCCTTGACATTTCATATTCATCACAATCCATATGAGACAATGGCTTCTTATTGAGCACCTGCCATTCATCACCCATGTGTCTATATAACTCCAACAAGGCTCTATAAATAGTTTCGCATTGTGGGTGCATCTGATCGCAAACTACAAAGTTGTGAACTTTCTTTGCAATTTCAATCCAACTTATCCCAGTCTCTTTTGATATCCTAGTTTCTTTCATTTTCTTTATAATTGTTGCCCTCTCTTTCCATTGCTTTTTGGAGGAATGTATATTAGCCAGCAAAATATATGGAATTGGAGTATTATCGGGTGAATCCAAAAGCCACTGCTGGGCAGCATGCATTCCGATATCAGTATTTCCATGAAAACTACAAGCACCAAGTAGTGCCTGCCAAACCTGTACATCAGGCTTTGTTGGTAACCGCTCAATGAAGCATTTTGCTTCATTCAGAAGACCTGACCTTCCGAGCATGTCAACGACAGACGCATAGTGTTCCATCCTGGGGATCATTCCATTCACTGTTTGCATGGACTTGAAGAACTCCATTCCTTTCTCCACTAAACCTACATGGCTACAAGCATGAAGCAAAGAGAGAAATGTGACATCAGTTGGCTCAACACCAGCAGATATCATCTCCTCATATAAATCAAGTGCTCTAAAACCATTACCGTGTCGGGCAAAAGCTGCAATCAAAGAATTCCATGAAACCGGATTCCTTAGATGCATCTGATCAAAAACTATGACAGATTCATGCAATTCACCACACTTGGAGTACATGTTAATTAATCCGTTTCCAATGAAAGGATTGGTCAAGAAGCCTTTCTTAATTATAAGTGAGTGAACTTGTTTTCCAAGATTTAAAAGTGTATCACTACCAAAAACTCCAAGAATGGACGACAACAAATTTGCGTCAATATCAATTCCGGATTTAATGATTTTGATGAAAATTTGCAGAGCATCTTTTTCGAATCCATTTTGGACAAAGGCTACAAGGATGACTGTCAGAGAGACAATGTCAAGCACCTCAGCAGACTCAAATATCCGCCAAACATCCTCTACAATGCCACATTTTGAATACATATCCATGAGTGCACTCTCCATGGATGGATTTGGCTGAAACCCTAATTTCAAAACAATTGCATGAATCTGCTTGCCTTTCATGAGGGCTTGGATGCCACTGCATGCCAATAATGCACTCAGATATGTCAGGTGATTAGAGCCAACAGATTCCCTCCGAAACTCATCAAAAAGTCTCAAACTTTCCTCACAAAACTCATTTTGCGCAAGCCCGGATATAACAGCTGTCCAAGTGATAACATTCTTCTCAACCATCTCATTAAAAACTCGCATCCCCGAGTCTAAACACCCGCACCGAAAATAAGCAGTGACCAAAGCATTCCCCACCGAAACCACCATCTCATAACCACTCAAGAACACCAATCCATGTACCATCCTGATACCGGAAAGAAGTTGAGCCTTGTCACAGGCTGACAAAATGGTAGTCAAACTAGCATGATCAAACAAGCCAACCCCCAAACTCATCAACTCCTTAAAATACTCAAATCCCATTTCACGCTCCCCATTTCTTATAAAACCCGAAATCATTGAGTTCCACGAGACCGTGTCTCTCACAGGCATATTCTCAAACACCTTGACTGCGTCATGTAATTCGCCGCACCTGGCGTACATTGCGAGGATAGAGTTCAGAACTCGAATGGAGTTTTGGCTATACAAATCAGCGAGTACTGGGGTCTTGATTGTGAATGCGTGAATGCAGTTTCCCAGACGAAGATTTCCCTCTTTCCCACAATATGAAAGTTGAAGGCTTATGCTCGCTGCATTGTCCAGGAATGGATTCCTCTCTTGGGGTGGTGGAGAAAGTGAGTTCCCATAGAATGCTCTAATGGGAAAGATGGAATGAGGAAAAGGTCGGTTTAACCTTCCGGCGAGGCATCTGGCGGCCGTGGCGTTCATCCATGAAACACTGGCCGTCGCACACAGTGAATGTGGAATTTAGCAATCAAACAGAAGAAAAAGTTTTACAGTATCCAAAAGTTATTATAGAAAATTGATGAAAAATTAAAAGATAAAATAACATATTTTAAGATTACTTCAAAATTTATAAATTTGGAAGTGACATTAAATAAATTAAATAAACAACGAAAATAGATCAATAATATAAATAAAACTTGACTCTATAAATAACCAAATGGATAAAATATACTTGTGAAAAAAAGATTGTTAATAACCTAAAACTTGTAATTTTATGTTACCACCTTCAACCTTTAAAAAATTTGTTTCAAGTTGTAATGTTTAGACAAAATCATTTTAACTCAATGTGGAATATATTATAAAAATGATATGAAAAACAAAAATAAAAATTAGTTATTTAAAAACTACATAAAAATTTCATAAAATACTAATACCAACTATATAACGGTGGGGTTCAAGTGATACCGGAAAACGGTGCCACTAGCAGTGCCACTGGGTTTTTGGGCACTTCCGGTGCTCCGTTCGTAAAATTGACGGTTTTTACCCTCCCTAACCCACCCCCTAAACCCCCACCCTACCCTACCCTTGCACCCCCACCCCCAACCCTGCAGTAAGCCCCCCACAAAATGTGTCGCTATTATGCAATGCATAATAGCCACACATTTTGTGGGGCTTACGGCGAGGTCGGAGTGGGGGTGCAGGAGAGGGGGTAGTGTGTGGGGGTTTAGGGGGTGGGTTAGTGGGGTAGGAACTGTCAATTTTACGAACGGAGCATCGGAGGTGCCCAAAAACCCAGTGGCACTAGAGTGACACCGTTCTCCGGTGGCACTAGAGTGACACCGTTCTCCGGTGTCACTAGAACCGGACCGACTATATAAAGGTACATTATTAGTTCCAATTTGAATGTAGTATATATCATGTTAATAATGTTTTCTTACAAACAAACAATAAATTATCATGAAAACGTGCTAACGACCCATCCAAAATTCCAAATCATTGATTATTGCATGTTATTCCATCTTCAAAATGATAAGAGCATTGGCAGCGGCGAGTGGAAAAAACGCCTCGCCTTGCCTTGAGAGGAAAGTTGTTATGTGCAACAGCGAGGAAGGAGAAACGCCGCGCGAACCAAGGGACGAGTCACTCCCTTTGCGAGGCATCTGCGAGGCAAAATAACCGGCCAACACAACTTCGCCGTCACCGTTTTCTATCGAAATCGACACCCTAACATCACCGGCCACACCACCCCAATTGTCCCTCCAACATCGCCGGTCACATGCCACCACCCCAATTGCCACCTAAATTCGCCGGTTGTCTGCCCAAACGCCGCTGATCTGTCCTCCTCTTCCTGCTCGAAATCGCCGGCGGCATCTCCCTTTGTCTAATTCGCTAGCGGCATAGTGAAATAGCAAATCTCTTATCAATTTGCTGTGAAAATCGCAGCCTAATTGTGGTCTCAATCCCACAGTCTCTATCTGCTCTCCACCCATATCACAACCACGCCTATGCCTTGCCGTTGTAAGCCATGGAACTCCACGGTTAATTTTGATTGGTTGCTAGATGCCACATCATCCCATGGCATTCCATTCTAGACTTGCCACTGCTTATGCTCTAATGTAAAAGATGTAAAAGTATAATGTACATAATTTAGCAGTGATTATATTGAAAATATTTTAAAATCATTCAATCGCCTATTTAAAAATTAAACTTGATTTCATTTTCCATTGATAATGTAAAGTAAAAAATAAGCTTTAAATCCGATCCGACTTAGAACTTTCATGTTTTTTTTCGAAATAGGATTTCACACTGTGGTAATGTGACACTGTACATGTACACATTGTAATGCTTTTTGGCAATATACATGACCATGTTTGATAATGTAAATATATTTTTAGTCTTATTTCAAGAATAAAAACATAAAAATTTTATTTCAACAGTCGCGGAAACTTTTGTTTATTTTTACGTTTTCATTAGTTATTTGATAAAATAAAATATTCTTGACACCTCTTATTTCGAAGAACTTTTCATGTAGTTTTTTGATATGTAATTTTTATTTTTTATTTTTTTACCAATATGTAAATAAAATGAATTGAAAAAACTTAATATTTTACTTCGGTAATAGAAATGTGACAAATAATTTGGGATGGAGGGAGTATATTCTGAATGTTTTAGTTTTTCTAGCATTTAAGTTAGCAAGCAAGAGCTGACGTATGTGTCAGTCGTATATGCCCCCGGCCCCGAAGTACATGCGTAGTTTGACAGAGCGAGTGAAACATAGCGAAACCAGCTATGAAGAACATCTTCAAGAAGAAGACTCACCACCCCAACCGATCGAACAACGAGACTCCTCAGCCGTCTTCTTCTTCTTCCTCTTCTTCCGCGTTGACGTCGCCATCATCACCCGCGTCTTCCTCCGATCACCGCGCATCGCAGAGTCCATCGACGGCGTCGGCGACTCCCGCCGTTCCCGCGCAGGTTCCCGGTGGAGGAACGCCGTCCGTCAGCCGGCAGCACGATTACTACGCCTCCGAGGAGGATTACCAGATTCAGCTTGCGTTAGCGCTCAGTGTTTCCTCGTCTCAGGCCGAGGAGCCTTTTAGGTGCGATGTTGACTCCGGAAAAGGTCAGATCCTCGGTGGAGCGAGATACGGTGCTGAATCGGCCCGTGATAGGGAGGAAGCTGCTGCGGATTTGCAGTCGAGGCACTATTGGGTGAGTGCTTGATCTCTCTAGGTAACTATATGGTTTAACCTTATCAGTTACTCCGCACTTTTTAGGGATTGAAGCTCAGTGGAGACTGGATGCTCTGAGATTTACTAGAGGAACATAATTAGTAACAATTGAAAACTTTTTATTTTGAGAATTTTAGAGTCCATAAGCTAAATAATGCAGAGAAATGTAGTTAGTTGATGGGATTGAATCCTAGTGGAGACTGGATGCTCTGAGATTCATTTACTAGAGGAAAATATCCAGTAGTGATTGACATTTTATATGCAAAATATTGGGGAGAAATCGAGTATGTGGCTATGTGCATTGTGCACTTCCAACAGGTACACACTAGAATGAAAATGGGCTAGGGACTCTCAACTTTGTACTATGGAGTATTAAATACTCCGTATTGCAAGTGATTGTTAGCAGGAGTGACATACATGCGTGATTTACTTGAATGATTGAATCTGTGGCCATTTGTTTACAACTTCATTTTTTTAATCATTAGGATTACAACACGCTTGATTACGAGGAAAAAGTTGTTGATGGTTTCTATGATGTACATAGCCTTTTTGCGAGTCCTGCAAGCCGAGGGAAGATGCCATCTCTTTCGGAACTTGAAACAAATGGTGGAAGTTCTAACTTTGAAGTTGTGATAGTGAATAAAAAGATTGACCCCTCACTGGAGGAGCTTGTGCAGATTGCACATTGCATCACACTAGACTCCGCCAAAGATGAGATTGGTCTGCTAGTTCAGAGGCTTGCTGAACTGGTAATAGAACAGTTTGGTGGGCCGGTGAAGGATGCTAGTATCATACTGACTAGATGGATGGAAAGAAGTACAGAGTTGAGAACTTCTCTTCAAACCAGCGTGCTGCCTATTGGATCGCTAAATATTGGATTGTCACGTCATCGTGCGTTGATGTTCAAAGTAAGTACTTTATTTTGATTAAGTACTCGTTTGGAAACAACTTAAGCGTTTAGCTTTAGCGTTTTGAAAAGTCTATCTAACAATAGTGCTTAGCTTTACACTATGTTTGGTTCAAGGAATCTGAAAGGGCAAAAAATGAAAATGAGAGAAAAAATAATTTTTTCATGTTTGGTTCGAGAGGAGAAGAAAAGAAAAGTGGAAGGAAAAGAAGACGAGAAGGAAAAATTACTAAGACGAGGGAAAACCTAATCCCTCCCATTTTGGTGAGGAAAAGAGAGATTCATTTTCTTTTCTTATACTTCCAAATTCCTTGAACCAAACATAGTGTTAGCGCTTTCAAATTTAATGTGCACCATTAAAGAATTATCCAAAAAGCTAATGCTAATTCAAAACGTTGTTCCCAAATAGGGCTTAGAGTTAGAGCTAGCGCTACTATAGTTTTGATCTCCAAATTGGCACTGGCGTATCAAAGAATTCAGGTGCTGACGGGGGAGTACGGGGGGTTCCAGGACAGCATCCTCAATTTTTTTAAGAAAGCGATATCCGCTAGGAAACAATGAAGAAGAATACATATATTTCATGCTGATACCAATTTGAATTGATTAACACATACTCCCTCCTCCCTAAATTATAGTTGTTGTCCCCTGAGCTCAATAAAAGTGTTGACTATTGAAAAGTGTGGTTGGAATTTGATCAAAAGAGAGAAATGTCATGAGCCACATATTTTTTTCTTTCATGAAACGTGAAAACTGAGAAGTGTGAAGTGTATTTTGTAGCAGAAAAAATAGAGAGCATTGATTTAATTTGGGGACACAGAGGAAGTATGTAGTCTAAATGAACAAAAATATACAAACTTGTCATTTTGAATAAAAAAACCAAAACGACATGAAAAATCCAGGTGGAGCAGCTGCACACGCTGCCTCTATATACACCCTTGCTTATTGCTCTTGTTACTATATAATTAAAAGATTCTCTGGCTATTTTGTAGTTTGTACAAAATCTAATGTAATAGGATTTATTGCTGGACAAACAGCGGTTAATGCACGAATTGGGATAGTTAGAAGCTCACAAAGACCACATATATAATATTATAATGTATGTAGTTTATTTAAAGGGACCAGCTAATTTATGATGGAGACATTTTCGTAAGTAGCCAGTTCTAGGGTAAAGGTCAACTGCTCTGGGTTGTTCCTCAGAATTAGATTGAAATTAAGTTTGGTCCTTAGTGAGAACCAAACTCAAACTGCTTATCTGGTTACTAAACCCGTAACCCTGTCATTTATCCTCAGAGGCTATTGCATACAGATTGGTCTATAGTACATCCCTATTTTCATTTTTCAATGCTTTGCTCTTTCTTAACTGTAGGTTTTGGCCGACCATGTTGGAATTCCTTGTAGATTAGTTAAAGGTTACACAGGTGTTGAGGATGATGCTATCAACATCATAAAGTTACCTAATGGGAGGTAGTTTGCAAATCTCATGTGCTCATGTTCTGCAATATCATTTTTTTTTGTATTCATCTACTAAGTATTGCACACGATTTTAAACTGTTTCCATTACCTTTTGGTGTCTGTTACATTGATTCTGTGACTCTTTTGCTAACCTATATGGCTCTAGCATTCCTATTTTATGTTTATCATTGAAATTTTAGAGTCTGCCAGTCTGCCTAGATTTGTTCTAGATCCAGCTAGGCTCATGTAGGATTGTAGGAATGTGTTGTATTCTTTAGTGCTTCCCAATGTCACTTCGCCAAAAACTTGTATGCCACAAAGGAATTCTTTATTTGTTGCAGCAGATCTCTTTAATGTTTCTGAGATGCAATCTTAGATATCTGCACACCTGTTTGTGTTATTCTCCTACCATCCAAAATTAATCTTAATGTTTTGGCTTGGCATGCTTAATAAGAAAATGAAATTCTGTGGTTGATAGAAGGCGAAGAAACAACGTCAACCACACAATTCTTTCATCAATTAAAATGAAACACATATTATTTTGGGATAGGCCGAAAAGAAAACAAGATTAATTGGGGATAGAGGGACCGGGGAGTAAAAGCACATGTATGATGTGTCAAATGTCTACGTGTTATCTTTTCAAGAGATACACTTTGTTGTTGCATCTTGTGTGCTGTGTTTCTCTATGTCTTACTGTACATCATTGGTGTTTGTTTTTGCCAGTGAGTTTTTGGTTGATCTTATGGGTGCACCTGGGACGCTTATACCAGCTGAAGTTCTTGGGGGGAAGGATACTTCTTTCAAGCCATATAACCTTCCCAATGCCCAGTCAATAATTGGTTCAAGCTCTGTGCCCTACTCATTGGATGAAAAGAAATCTTCAATAGAAAATGATATTTTCAATGCTGCGGGGCCAGCAAGGCAGGAATCCAATCCTTTGTTATCAGATACAAATGTTGGAGCTGGTTCATCAGGATTAAGTAGCAGAGTTTCTCCCTCAAACCAGTTGGATCAAATCCCATCATTGGTCATTGGGAAGTCCTTATACAAAGGAGGTCGTGGACCTAATGCCGCTAGTGATGGTTCAAGGGTGAATGTGAATGTTCCATATAGCGATGATCCAAAAAACCTTTTTGCTGATCTCAACCCCTTTCAAGTTAAAGGATCTGGCTTGGTTCAGAATAACCCTTCTAGAACTGCAGTCAATGGACTGCAGTTTCCAAAAAATAATGTGGCAGGCAAGCCTCCTGTCCCCATGAATTGGAAAAATCGTTATGCATGCAATGAAGTTCCAGAAATATCACCAAGGATCAACCGTGGTGCAAATATTTATAATTCATCATCAATGACACCATCCAGCACAACTACACAGCAGAAAGTTATCTCTGATAGCTCGAGGATGCCTGGTAAAGCATATGATGTCTACAGGGAGAACAATGACACTAGTTCTGGAGCTGGTGCCCCTCTGATGTTGGCATCGACTCAATTTGAATTTAGGAAAGTTTCTATTGAAGACAATAAGATCAGTGATCTTAAGCAAGCATATCACAGGGAAGGCAATGTTTTGGAAAGTAATGGCACAGAAACAACCAGAGCTCATGTAAATGAGGTTACTATGCAGAATGATGGCAAAAAGATCACCCAACATAAATTAACAGGGAAGAATTTAAGATTGAAGGAACCTCAATACTCAAATACTTCAACATGGTTAAGTCCATCCCAGATCAATCAAGTATTGGATGATGTGAATGAATGTGAAATTCCATGGGAAGATCTTGTTATCGGCGAAAGGATCGGGCTAGGTAATTTCCCTTTATCGGTTCTTGAAAAATGGGTTTTTTCAGGTGTCATAAATGGACTGCAGTCTGGCATTGAAATTTTTACTTTCTTGAACTATGTGCTTGTATTCCTGAATTATCAACCTGATCTTCGGAAAAGAATTGTGTGTTTTTAGTACAATTGTGTGTGTGGGTGTGAGTGCTTGTTTGTTTCTTTTCCTTCTATCAGGTAGCTTTAAATCACATCAACCACAAACAACAACAAAGCCTTAACCTAAATAATTTTGGGTTTTAAAGCACATCCGCTGCCACCACCACCACCAACAACAAAGCCTTAACCTAAATAACTTTGGGTTTTTAAGCACATCAACCATCAACAAAAATAGGACTTAATTCCATTTTCATTTTAAATATTTCTTTTAACTCTTAGCTTCTTTGCGTCTCCTTTTTGGGTGCTTTCATTCTGTTCAGAATAAGAAGAGATGTGACAAAGCCAATTTTCAGTTTACCTCGTGGCGATGATGGCATTTTAATGTACTTTTCCTTTCAAATACCATTTAAACCATATAGTTTCACATGACTTCTCCAAACGGCTTAATCTCTCTGGAATGAAAACTAGAGCTTGAACCACAATCATATTTTATGAATGCAACAGCCATCATGCTTGTAGATATCAATCAACAACTATTCTATTGTTTTTTAGAATAGCTGCTACAGTAATCACCTCTTTGTGTGGGTGTGTTTTATAATGCTGTTTTATAAGTTTTATGTATATTCCCTGTATGTATTCAGGTTCATATGGAGAAGTATACCGTGCTGATTGGAATGGCACTGTAAGTTTAATATCATGTGATTTCTCTTATACTTAACATCTCTCAATTGTGATATTATGTTCATTATTTTGTTTTCTGGATTATTTAAAAGAACAGGAGGTTGCTGTCAAGAAGTTCCTCGATCAGGATTTTTCGGGTGCTGCTTTAGCTGAGTTTAAGAGAGAAGTATGTGGTTCTTGCCTGCCTATTTTTGTCTTGTTTCCAATTTTTTCGTCATGTAACTCCAAGATATTTAAAAAATTTATCCTCATTATTTCACCATCATGCTATAATCTTTTCCTTTCTTTTAAGAACATAAACTAATTGAGTATAGTTCTTAATTTAAGACCATATTTATGGCAGGTGCGAATCATGCAACGTTTACGCCATCCAAATGTAGTTCTTTTCATGGGAGCTGTAACCCGGCCTCCAAATCTTTCTATCATCACTGAATTTCTTCCCCGGTATTTTCACCTTTTTAAATGCATCATAGTTTACTAGGGTATTAGGGTGTAGGTTGAGCTAACAACAGCAACAAAAGTCCCACAAATGGGGTATGAAGAGGGTTTGGTGTACACAGACCTTACCCTGTCCTATAAAAGGCTGAACCCTTAAATATTAAAGCAGAAGCTTGATTGCTTGTATTTCAAAGGGAATCCTCGGCATTGTGTTGATTACTAATTTTTGAGAAACAGTCTAATTTAAAACCTAAATTAGGCTTTTGAATGTTTGCTTTTATGTGTTCTAATCATGTTTCTCACCCGATGTGCATCCCCCAAATAGTCATGTTTCATACCTTTGTCCAAACAAAAAAGTTCTGTTTGATTAAACTAAGCTAATATTGCATGTAATTTGTCAAAATACTGTCATTCAAGAGTCGCCAACAAGATATATGATAAATTTAGTTATGTTAACATTCATGATTAATGTTAAAACTTACCAAAATTAAGAAATTATGAATTGGTCAAACATGAGTTTTTGGTACGGAGGTAGTATGTATATGCGGCTCTGCTTCAACTAAGACTACCAACTGGGTTGGTCTGACTATTATTATTGTTTTTTTAACAGAGGAAGTCTTTTCCGGATAATCCATCATCCTCACTCTCAAGTAGATGAGAAGCGCAGAATCAAAATGGCTCTTGATGTGGTAAAAGATTAGTGTTCCGGTCTTCATCTAACCACTTAAGATAGTGCTAAAATGCTATTGTCTGGTCTTTCTTGTACAAATAGTTTAAATTAGATGTTCTCCGTGCAGGCAATGGGTATGAATTGCTTGCATACAAGCACACCAACTATTGTTCATCGTGATCTAAAATCTCCTAATCTATTGGTTGATAATGATTGGAATGTGAAGGTATATAGTTTCACTTGTTGGTGTTTGTCGATGCCTTGAGTTATACATAGGGGATGTTTGTTCCATGGAATGTATGACTACCTTGAATAATGGCATTACCTCTTGGAAGGTAATTAGGATTACGGGGACATAAGATTACCTCGAGCTGTTTGGTTTACGGAATGTGATATCACTTATTTATTTGAAGTGTAATGGACAATCGGGGATTATCTAAAATGCTAAGGAACAACTGAAGTAATTGATTATCTAAGAAACCTCTTTTCCTACTTTTAGGTTAAATGAAAACCTGAACCAAACAAGGTAATATTACATTACCAAGGTATGTGAGATTACATGAACCAAACTCCCCCACAATGTCGTGTGGGTTTCATCAAGACACCTTATATATATTGTTAGTCTTACACATGGTTGTTTTTTTGCTCATATGGTAACTCCAAAGCCTACAATGCAGGTATGTGACTTCGGTTTGTCACGTTTAAAGCACAACACTTTCTTGTCATCCAAATCTACCGCTGGAACAGTAAGATTTCCGATGTGTTTTATTTGATGAAGTGCTTTTCTTTCTTTGTATCCATGCTACAAATCTTTTTGTTCATGTCTTCTTTTCTTTTGCTCTTGTAGCCCGAGTGGATGGCTCCTGAAGTTCTACGTAATGAACCTTCAAATGAAAAGTGAGTTTAAATTACTCATTTACTCTCTATCCGTCCAGGTTTGATGCTGATTTAATCATTGTTACTCTTTAGTTAGGTGTCCATGGCATGAATGCAAAATAATATGCAACATTGCGGGCTCATTTGGATTATTGAGAAATGGACTGTGAGGAATTACTAATTAGATAAGGTTTGAATGCTAGGGATTCATCCAATTCCCTAGAATTACTCATGAGCCCATACAGTATGTTTGGTTCAAGGAACTGGAAAGGAAAGGAAAACAAAAAGGTTTTTTTCCTTCTCCTCACCAAAATGGAAGGAATTTCGTTTACCTTCTTATCAGTTATTTTTTCCTCTCATTTTCTTTTCTCATTCATCTTTTCTTTTCCATTCCTTTCTAACCTAACAAGAAAACTTGTTTTCTATATCATTTTCTTTTCTTTTCTTTTCCCTTTCGAATTCCTTGAACCAAACATAGTGTTAGTGTCTTGGAAGCATCTCACCTCATTCCCAGGAATAAGGGAATTCCTCAAACAGAAAGCCAATCCAAACGAGGCCATGAACTTGAGAATATTTCCACGTGGTGCTTGACTATGGATGTGATGTCGACCAGCCTTATAAAACAGAGTGGATTGTTTATGAGTTGTTGTAGGGACCCCCTTTCAAAATGTGAATGTCTAGTCTATCTTAGGAAATTGGGTTATGGTGTTTGGTTGATGTCACAACTAAAACCTATTACCCACCTATACTACTGCTGCTGCTTGTAATATAGGCATGCATATTCACATTCCCATATTGGTGCGATGTGGATTTAAACTATTGCCCCTGTTTCATAACAAGAGTCATGTTTTATAAACCTATAACATTCTATTATTAGTAAGGTACAGCACTTAGAAATAATTGGATATAGCTATATTTCAAAATATACTTTTTGGTTTGACTATATCTAGACAAGTTTTTAATAAATACAATGAAAATATACATCTTTTGTTCAAATTGAATTCTGTGGAGGGGCAAAATTGATTTAGAAACATAACGGTGAACAAAAAAATTAGAAACATAAGTCTTTTTATGTGATGGACAGAATATTACTTTCATTGGGAGTGTAATTTACATTTATCAAATTTCTGCTTCATTAGGTGTGATGTTTATAGCTTTGGCGTCATTCTCTGGGAACTTGCAACAATGAGATTACCTTGGAGTGGAATGAATCCTATGCAAGTTGTGGGTGCTGTTGGTTTCCAGAATCGGCGTCTTGAAATCCCTAAAGAACTCGATCCCCTCGTGGCAAGGATAATATGGGAATGCTGGCAGATGTGAGTATTATGCACTACCATCATACATAGTTGCTTCTTCGTATTCAATTCAATATTTACGCATCTGGTTTCTCTAACCTACACACATTTAGAAACTAGCATACTGTTTTCAGAGTTACACATTTAATTAATGAGAGTTTTTGGGAGCTTTTTATTAAAAAAACAGGAGATTTTGGATTGAAGGACATCATTTAGGAGAACTCAGAAAAGAGCTTTTTAGTCTCAAAAAAGTGTACAAAAAAACCGTTTTTTTGATTTTTGGAGCAGGCTGGAGTTTTTTGGATCTGTTATTCAAGCTTGGTTTACCAAAAGCTTCTTTTTCAAACTTTTTGAAATAGCTACACAAATACTGAACTTTTTTGAATGACTACCCAAATATTATGCTTGTCCCAAAGTATTCGTTCTCTTTGACTTATTTGCAGTCGAAGGGAATGAACTTTGATCATCAATTATATAAAAATTGTATTGCATATTAGTACAAACTTTGATCATCTTGCTAGAACTTTCAAAAAATTATGGAGTATTAATGCAATTTTTACGTAATTGAAAGTCAAAGTTCATCCACAATTTGACTCGAAAAAAGAGTAGCTATGACACATTGGTTTCCGAACGGGGTCAATGTTTTATTGTAATTCACTTTGTGTTTTAATTGTACTGTTTAGTTTTACAAGGCACTCTGTAATTTTGAATGACTTTACAAAAACGAACTTCACAAATTGGACAGCTAATTGCTCTATGCTATGCATAACGTTTTACCTTCTTAGAGAAAATCAGAGCTAATTTTGATGTCTTTTTTATTTACCAGGGATCCAAATTTACGACCGTCGTTTGCAGAATTAACGGTGGCATTAAGGCCATTGCAGCGTCTTGTCATCCCGTCACATGTGGACCAGCCGAGCTCGCCTTTGACCCAGCAAATATCTGTAAATTCTACACCTTGATATATGTCTTCTTGCAAACTACACTGTAAATAATGGCATCATGTATTCTTTTTAGTGGAGGGGTCATTTTCTGCATCATATGCTTAGCAGAAAAATAGGCTATAAATAATATTTTTAAAATTATATTTATTTTTAAACAATCACTCGTTTATATTTATTACCAAGTATATTTTTTTAGAAATAAAAAGGTTATGCATTTCTGTAGTTATTAATTGTGTGTAATCTACATATAATTATAAAAAACAAGATTTTCTAGTTCACATAAATGAATACAAATAGGGTGATTGTTTACAAAGTAAATATGTTCGACTGGCCCATTTTAGGGTCTTATGGTGTTGTCCATCCCCAAAGTGGTTCCGACCTCCTAACCCCATACAAACATCTCCCAACATGTCCCCTTCTCCCAGGGGTCGTCGTTACACAATAGCTGTGTGTGTGGTTGGGGGGGGGGGGGGAATCNCTCAAATGTTTCGGTGTCCTAAGGATCTGCTCCAAAGTGTTGATATTAGCTGTGTGAATGTTTTGGCTACAAGCAGCATCAGCGGCTAGCTGTAAATTGATCATGCTTGCGGCAACGGTGCAACGGTAACTAGTAAGGCATACTACTCTAGTACTCTATTTGTCCCAAAATCTCTTTTCCGTTTTGACTTTTATAAAATTTAAAGGAGACATATTTTTGTTTTGCATTTCCCAAAATATCATATGTGATTGGTAGATTAGTAGGAAAAAGATATGATGTGATAGGTTGGATTGCAATTACTAGAAGTGAATACGACTTTTTAATGGAAAGTGAATACTTTTTGGGACGAAAAAAATGAAGGGAAATTCTTTTTAGGCGTGGAGTATGAGTTTTGCGCCTTTGAGGGAATGAAAACATGATGTTGGTAAAATCTTAATTATTTTTTGTTCTTTCATGGTTTCACCTTCTTTTGTGGGATACCCCATGATGCTTATGGATCATGCTTGACGTACATCGGTGTTATGCCAATCCCTTTTTTTGTACTAATTTTATGTTTCGGTTTATGATGTTTGATTGAAATTATTTTCAAATTATTTTATATTAAAAATGTTATAGAACTAAAAAATAAAAATTACATATTTAAAAACTACATTAAAAGATCTACAAAATTAGTGGTGATATGATTATATTCTTTTATCAAATGACTAACGAAAATAAAAAAAGAGAGTGAACAAAATTTGACTCTGTGAACAATAAATAGACAATTTAATTTGGGACGGAGGGAGTACGTCACAAATTTGGGCGACAGATACTTGTTTCTGAAGTTTAAAAATGAATAGTAACTTCCTAAAATGATCTTCTAATAAGGTAGTTTTCCAAATCAATCTTTTATAAGTTTTAATTACCTACATGATCCTCTATAATTGAAATTTATTTTCTAAATAATTTTTTGTAAGTAATGATACTCATATGATGATTAATTGGAGGTATTTTGATATTTTTTATTAGCTACATTTAGAATAAATTTTTAAAATGATCATTTATAATGAAGTGCTTTTTCAAAATGGTTTTTTTTTAATTTAATATGTGTATTTTAATTGAATTTTAAAAGATCTTTTTATAGAGGACTTTTTGGAACCGGTAGTCCGGTTAAGACCGATCCTAGTCTGGTCCGATCTTTATTTTATATACTCCGTAATTTTTATAGTGTTACTTTTTAGTTTTTACTAGCTTTTTAGAAAGCTAAAAATATACTCCCTCCATTCTAATAAAAGCTTCCTAGTTTGACTTGGAGCCAAAATAAGGAAGTGTTAAATTATAGTTGACTTCAATTTTGCCCTGATATGATGGGTAAAAGTAAGACATAATGTGTAGTAAATTATTAGAGAAAAAGTATGATGCAATAGATAGGATATGAAAAAGTAAGAGCAAAAGTAGTTTTTTAATAGAAAGTGAAAGTGTATTGTTGGGAGTGGAAAAAATAAAAGAAGAAGTGTTTTTGAGAACGGAAGGAGTAGGTATTAGTTTTTTTATCTAATTTCTTCAATTACTCAACTTTGTTGATTTTTTGTAAATTATATATGCAACATAAATGTATGTTTCTAAGATAGATATTAAATACGGAGTACAACAAACAAAAATATTTTTTAAGTACAAACTTATACCTTTGAATTTGTTATGACATATTTTTAAAATTCTAAAAAGAATATGAAGTATTAAGTTGTATATTATTAAAATAAATGTATTTCTAGCAAAATAATATGCAAAAAAATAGATATATTTATATTTTAATGTTATATTATGAGACTAGTCCTAGTCCAGTCTCTGGTCTTTTTACAAAAGACCACCGGTCTAGGACTGGTCTTTCTCACAATTTAGAGTACCAAATGAGACTACCGGTGGTCCGAGACCGAACCGATCTCAATGATCACTTTTGTCCCAATCTCTTTGCTCTTCTCTACTTTCAACAAAGTACAGTCAAGTCCCAATCAAATTAAAAAATAAAAACAAAGTAATGCATGTAGCTTATGACATGTAAAAATTGTGACTTGATAAATTAAGGCCGCATTTTGAATCTACTTACATAGTTACATCGTGTCAGGGTGGTACTCAAAAACACTTGAAAAGACAATCTGAATAATCTTTGAAATAAGGTAAAAGAGAATTCTGCAAAGCAAAGAAAATTGTGTCCTTACTTCATTCACAATATGCATTGGGCCCCTGAGGTATGTGCAGCTGAAGAACACGACTGAGTTCGGACAGTTGGTCTTAATCCTTCCCACAGCACCTGCATATGAACACATCGCCAACCAGTATGATTCTCGGACGAACGTGGAAGAAAAAACATCCAAGAAATCTTCAGATATGGTTGTTTTTCCTAATGAGTGCGGTTCTTTTGACACCAAGGGCCGGTGTCATAATTTTGTCCGCCCTTTCCTTTTTGGGGTGTCCTAAAAGTTACTCCCCATTCTCTTTTGAGGAAGTATTTATATCGTCCGCATTCTTTCAATCACTTCTAGTCTAAGTCACAGCGGGAAGAAATTATAGGACATAGGGAGTAATCCTTAAATTGCAGATTCTGGTTGATTATGAGAATCAGAATTAGCCAAAAGAAGAATGCAAACCAAACGAGTCTTATAATGTGAAAACTCAAAAACCAAGGAATGGGACAAGTAGGCGGCGCGACTGTGTGAGTTAAGATTGTCTAGTACGGGTAAATATTGAAAGTAGATACGACAAACAAACAAAAAACAGCGGCACCCTTTCGAAGCTGATAGTGTTACGTAGTCCCTACTATAAAGAAATAATTTACTAAATTAGATTATTTTCAACACGTTTATAGACTACTGAGTCCACCTATTCACAGGAAAAGAAATAAAAAATTCTTAAGTATGCACACTTAAGAGATGGCATTATCTCTAAAAGCTAGACAAAAAAGCAAAAAAAAAAATACCTCTTATATCTCTTATTTGAACCGCATGGGCAGGGAGCATTCCTACTCATTTGCCCACTTTTTGCCAAGTTTGATCTTGCGAGATCCATAGGAGTTGATCCCATTAACTGTTGAATCTGTTAAAACTTCAAAATTCAATCATCAATTCATCATAAAACCAACATTGCATGAGAGTAAACCAAGAATTGTGGATCCGCCAATGTCCACAATGTTGGACCTTCAACAATAGGTGCACTGTTTGAACCAGCCAAGCAACATGCAAAATGAGAAAATGAGTGCACATGCAACTTAGATTCTTCACACGTTTTACCTCACTCATGCTCTTTGGCATGGGTTTTCCTTCTTCCTTCAACCTCTCAATCTTCTTCTGTGCTTCTTTTGCCCACGTATACATTGCCAATGCATTCTCAACTTCTGCTATTGTGCACTTACAAAGCTTTGCTGCCTCTTGCTTTTGACTATTTTGAAGATTCTACAAGCCCGAAAAAAACAAAGTAATCACTAATCAGTGTGTATCCAACAGGTAAAGCATGTTTTAAGCCATTTATAGAAATAAGGAGTTGTTAGCTAAGCATCTATATATCCATGTGCCCCATCTTATGAATCTCACCTTACTTTCTAGTTTGCCCCACAGCTACATCCATTTTCTTTCTCGAATCAACTAAGTTTCTTTTTTTCCCTTCAAATTTCAAACTTTTGCACTCATATCTTCATTTCTTATTCTAGCCACGCGCATGGATAGAATAAGGGATGAAGATAGGAGAGCAAAAGTAGGAGTGGCACCTATTGTTGAAAAAGATAGTGGAAGCATGTCTTAGGTGGTTTGGACATGTGGAGAGAAGACCTATAAAGCATCCAGTTAGAAGGGTAGATCAAATGGAAAACAGACAAGTGGTCATAGGTGATCTACACATAAATGATCACACTGCATATATGATGCATGACAGGACGCAATAGCATCGTTTGATCCATGTAGCCGACCCCACCTAGTGGGATAACCGGATAAGTCTTTGTTGTTGATACAATAGTAGCTTCTTGACCATTAAAAGTTTCACGGATAGGGCTCATACGGTTATAATTTTTCCCACATATATGTGTCATTCATAATAGAAACGTTCAGAGAGATATAATTAGAGTAATTGGGTAGACCTTCGGGCCTTAGTTTCTAGGTTATGTTGGTGCTTTTCATCCTACTCTATTGCGGGTGCTTATGCATTTTATATGCTTTGGGTCTAGTTGCTAGTGTTGACACATGTACATCATGCCTCTCTGCTCTTACTCTATGATTTTCTTTGTCAATGTATCTGTGGTCGAGCCAGAGGTCTCTTAGAAGTGGCTTCTCTACTTCCCAGCAGGGGTAAGGCCCTCCCTCCCACGGCCCTATTTTTGTGTTTTTCTAATGGGTTTTCCAAGAGCCTACTTTTGGGGGATTGCATTGGGTCTAATCATTCATCATTCATAAACCGCTTGATCTAATTCCGGAAATGCTAAAAAAAAGTGGAAGAAAGAATAAAAAAACAGCAGGAATGATAACGAACCTCTCCAGTGTTATCAAATCCACCAAGGCATCGAAGAATGGCCTCTTTCTTAGCAAAAGCCTCCGCGAAGGTAGCGTCGCTACTTCTCCCCACCACGTACTGCTTCCAATTAGACACCTTCCTCGCATTGCTCAGCTCATTCGCGAACGCTGACGATTCATCAATATGACATTTCATCATATGGATATATTTTTTTTTAAAAAAACGAAATCGTAGAGAACATTGAGGCCATACATAGTAGATTGAAGGTCTCGGAGGGCTTCTGGCCCGTGAAGATGGCCTTGACTCTGTCCATCCATGAAGCTAGATGCGGCGTGGAGGAGATCCGCCGCCGCTGCTGCGGTGGCTGGTGGCGGCACTGCCGGTAGCCTGCGTATAGAGATCCGATTCCGGGACGAATCATATAGGAATTGTATGTATCTCTGATTCACTCTCTGCGTTTGCTCCTGCAAATGGGAGAAGGGGGTTTAAGTTATTTTTCTAGAGGTTTAATTGAAATAGTTATTGCCAAACAATACAAATTACTCTCTCTCCCAAAATTATTACGAGAAAGGGAAATGTTTGCTATTTGTGAACTTCAATGAAAAAAATTAAATAGTATAAAATGATTTTAAAATGAAATTTTAAACCATAAATAGAAATTTTGTGAAGTTTGTGAGTATTCTATTTGTGAACATAGCATTGCTCTACGAGAAAAAAACTAAAATAGTACTTTCATTTTTTATTCTCAAAATATGAGTTAAAATGCATTTACATTATCAAAATATAATCATGTACATTACCAAAAAGTATAGTAATGTGCATATGTAAAGTGCCACATTACCACGGTGCGAAGTCCTATTTCGGAAATAAAAACATGGAACTCTTATTTTGGTACTTTTTTCTATATTTTAGTCTATTTAGGGTGATTCCAAAATTATTATTTGTTCTTTCACGGTCTTCAGTGTTCTACTTTAACAATCAGTATCTCTATCTATATATAATTTTTTATTATAAAAATTTGATGTTTTGAATTTTATTTCTAAATAAATGCATTGATATTAAATTTATATCACTATTTAATATATTTTTCGATATTTAAACGTCAAAGTTAGAAATTTTTTACCAATAAAAATAAAACAAGAAGGTATTTCAGAACTCCAAAATGTATTTTGGATAATATGAAACCTAAGGATTTTTACCAAAAAAATTAGGAGAATTTAGAGTATATTTCAGATAATATGAAATCTAAGGCATTATCAGAAAATCAATGATACCCTGAACCTGGAGTAATAATGTGTATACTTTGTTCCCACCATCCCAACTCATTCATCGTTGTGTGTGCATTTGGGCAGTTCGGCAACAATTTATCCTTTAATTTTAGTGTTTTGAATAAATTATCTAATTGCAATATTTATTTTTTTTTACATTTAAAAGAATTATAAAAAATGATAAAACTAACTGAATACTCCGGAATATGTTATTTCCAAACAAATCATATGAAAAACAATTTTGAAGACATAAGTAACGTGTTTTTTATTTGATATTATCGTACATTAAGTGTTTATACTATTAAAACATGGTACTCAAAAAATACAAAAAAAAAAGTAAATTTCTTTTTTTACAAAGTTTCCAAGTCACTCGGGTCCTATTTCAACTCTTGAGGTATGATTTCATTCAATTTTTGTAGAATTACATGATTTGCACATTGAATAAAAAATAAGTGTGCACATTCAAAAATTAAAAACCAACAAATTCAAATAAATACATGTACACTTACATTAAAACAAAAACAAAAAAAAAAGTACCTTAATGTTTCATGTAACTTACAAGAATCAGACATGGATTAGCACCCAACAACAAACCCAGTCCAAAAAAAAAAAAAATTACCCCAACACAAAAATAGAAACTAGTAAGAGCACTCAAGAACAAAAAATCACTCCCCAATTTTACAGCCACTCATCAACAACCAAAACCAAAAACCAAAATTCACTTTTCTAAAGAAACTTTGAATTTAACCCATCATCTGAAAACTCTCCCAAACAACAACCAGTTTCAAACAAATCATCCGCGAGCCACTTGACTCCCGTCCACATACCAAACGTGAGCGGGTTTAGTGTCCACCATTGACGTGACATCACCAGAACCGTGACAAACAATTCTGGTGATGTCACGTCGTTGGTGAACAAAGTAGCCCTCACCAACCACTAGTGGGTGATGTGAAAATTCTAAAACGACACGATGTGTGTCAAACTAATACTCCTCTTGTCCTAGTGAATTTGCTTTGTTTTTTTCCAGTCAAACTCTGCTAACTTTGATCATCAATTAAATAAAAAACACATTGCATGTTAATTTTGAAAGTTTTTTTGCACGATAAATTTAATGAAATCATTTTTTATCAATATGCAATGCGGTTTTTATTTAATTAATAATCAAAGTTTGTCTGGTCATTGAAAAAAATTAAACTGGACGAATACACTGAAGGCAGTGAAATTACCTCAATCAAGTGTACATTAGCTTAGAGGCAATCAGACATTCTTCGTCTATGTCGCCCAGCAGCGACTTTTGCGTTGGGGTTCGAATGAGCAGACGCCTTTTTTGTGTCATCACACAATCCCTCCTTTTTTTCTGTGTTTCTTAGGAAATGTTTCAAACGGGGATCGGAATAGCTGACCGATTGAGAACCCGGCGGAATTTGGACCGAACTTTTGGCCCAGTACCTGAAAGTCTTGGGCCTGATGTCCATTTGCCTCTCGGTTGGGCTTTCTCTTTGGCGACTCGCCACAGTGGACGTCATGAACCGAGGCATTGAGTTGGTAGAAACAATCCTTCTCGGGGCTGTTTTCTCGGGTTTTTTGATGAGTTGACCGAAGTCTTCTTCTCGTGCGCTGACGTGGCACTTCTCGTCATCCTCGGGAGGCCCGCGAGTCATCATTGAGAGTGTTTTTCTGGTTTCGCTTAGCAAACGTTTGGCGTTTTCTATCCGGTGTCTTAGGTTTTGGCCTTCTTCTTCGTCTTCCACCATTTGCTCTTGAAGCTCCGCAATCTTATTCTCTTTTTTCTTCTTTGCTTCCTACAATGGCACGTGACACTCACGATGTATTATTATTATTATTATAAACGGAACGATTATTTTGACACCAAAACTTCTTATCTTATTATGACACTGAGCCATTTGGGAGTCCTATCTTGCTCCATTGGACTAGAGGGACAGGACTCAGGAGACTACCCCCCCCCCCACAAACTTCTTGCCCCAGACCCTCAGCCCCCTATGTGGGCACCGATTTGCTAAATTTCGAAAATCGGCGCCAGTAGGGGGTTTATAGGGGTTAGGAGTAGGGCTTAGCTCAACGAAGCACAATAGCGCCCTAATGTCATAATATGACACCCAAACCCGGTGTCAAAAGAACCCGACCAAACAATGAAGCAGGTTTTTTAACAAATCGGCACCGAAGTCTATGAGGATTGTAGGACCGGGTCGCGGCCCCAAACGAAGCATCTAGGGTCCTAGTGTCATAATATGAAACCCAAATTTTGTGTCAAAAGAATAAACAGAAGCCTCAATATATAATTTTAAACAAACACAAAAAGAAAGAGGGTTACTTGTGAGAGATTACGGTTGCAGTCCACAGCCCTTGCCCTCTTTGCAAAAGTAAATGAGCATGTTGTCTCGACAATGTCCTCTTCGCAGGGGCTTGCATGAACTAACATCAAAACCTTGGAACCATTTCCTAAGAGCAATTTAGTGCAGAGATTTAGATGTTTGCTACTCCGAAAACCAGAAACTTTAAATAGGACAGTTCCTACTCAGAATACCTAGAGAATCCTTGAGAATTTGTGTCAATTTGCTATTCCTGCAATAAAAAGATTGTCATTTGATTGGCCAAAATAACACAACCCATCCAGAAGCTTTCAAGTATTATAAAGGGTCGGTTCTTTTCGCCTTAATTTTTGGTTTTTGCAAGGAAAGTAGCCAAAGTTTGAACATGTGAATAGTGAACGAACCTGTAAGGAACGTGGCCTTTCTTTCTTCTTAGGGCTGCAATGACATCACCTAGAGCTGAGAGGGAGAGATTAATGGCCCTTCCCTCGTCAAGCGTTTGGCCAGTTGCTCCCGTTTTGAGTATCCGTTCGCTGCCCCCAAGATCCACCATCCATAGTTTGCTCACTTGGGGTTTACCCCCCGTAGCATCATCGGTGCGACATATGGTTATCCTTGTCAAGCTACACACACAAAACTAAGAGAGATAATGTAACTTCCACAATGAGTAATGCACTCTAATCCCTCTCTGATGTAAAAGTAAATGAACAAAATAAATATCGCCCGCCCCTCTGCTCCAAAATCCATCCACCACCAAAATGTCAAGGATCCAACTCAAACTTGTGGTTGAAGATCCATAAAACGTTTTGTATGTACTCTAACACAAAGAAGGGGTGAACGAATATAACTCAAGAAAACCCACCAGTGTGATCTGCTAGAAGCTTCGTTGACATTGGTCCATGAAGTTGATCTCACCCGCCTCCCCTTACTATACCACCACTTTGCTTTTGTGTAGTTTGATATCTCCATTTCCATGAGGCCATCAATATCAACCGATCCTTTTGCATCCGTTTGAATATTCAGAATGCTGTAGTTGAGTTTAGCCAAACCACACTCATCAACATTTTACTATATAGTGAGTCAAGTGATTTTCCAAGTAGGGGGGGGGGGTGCAATAATGGATAATCAGAACCGACTAAAATTGTAATTTTTCCTCTTTTTTTTCAAACTTTGGTCTCATGAAAAAAGCAGGCAAGGGAATTTTACCATCTTGATGAAGCATAAACTTTGGAGGAAGGTTTTGGAGCAAGCAAATCCCTAAGATGACCCAAGTAAACCTCAAGCATGCTGATTGAAAACGTGTAATTTGTAGATCCATCCGAAGAGGCTTTGTGGCGAAACAGCTCTTCTAGAACACGAGGTATGATCCCGGGGGAGGTGCTACTTCCATCCTTAGAAAGAAGAAGAAAAAACCATAATGGGTCACTTATCACAAGTGACTTTTATGCTTCATTTGTTTCCAAGAAAATAGCTTGTTGTGGAAAAAAATGAGTTTTTCTATGTTAAGAAAAGTGCTACCACTGACCATTGTGTAAGTCTTGCCAGTCCCTGTCTGTCCATAAGCTAATATACAAACATTGTGCCCATCAAGTGCAGATCGTAGTATCGGTTGAACCTCGATGAAAACATCCTCTACACAATGTAAAATATATAATGATATAATCAAGTCCTCTACACAATGTCCTCTACTTGCTTATTCACTCCTTTAGTCCCAAAATGAAGTTTACACTTTCCTTTTGTGGATATACCAAAATGAAGTTTACACTTTCCTTTCGTGGATATACCAAAATGAAGTTTACACTTCTTCACTTTCCCATTAGGAAAAAGAATGTGGCTTTTGTGACAGATGAGTAGTTATTTGGCTGAAATTAATGCTCCTAAACGCTTTCCCTCTAACAAAACTCATCCATTTGAGCCAAATAACCATAGCCAAGCAGGTATTAAAAAATCACTAACCTTGACTTGCTTCTTGGGGGAAAACCTTGTCAAATCCAAATTCCTTCGTGCCTCCCCCTCCTCCACCACCACCAGATCTGACCTGAATCTTCTCGGGTTCAACTAAAAGGCATTGATGAGTCCTCCTTGTCGTCCTATCCGTTGCTAAGAATGGCCGAACCCGACAAAACAGCCTAATGCAGCCTACATTTTCAATTATTATCATGGATCTTAGCAATTGAGATATAATAACAACAAATCTAGTAAAATCTAACAAAAAGTAGAGTCTGGAGAGGGTGAGTGTAAGAAGACTTTACCCCCTACTTGGAAGTAGAAGGGCAATTCAGACATACCAAACAATAAAATGAGATGAAATTAACTCACCTTTGGCATCTATTATCTTCTTCAATGCTTCTCTCCTTTTTTCATCTAATGCTCTCTGTCTTATCCTCAAATTTACAATGTCCCCTAATAACACATTATGTCCATTCAGATCAAGAAACCCTTTAAATTCACAAACCATTTTTATAAAATTGCACAGAAGAACTAAGTTTATTTCTTTATTAAAAAAAAAGGGATCCAGGGAATTTTACCTTCTAGAGACATGATTCTCTGTTCAAGCTCATGCTTATCCTCAGAGAAAGATACGGCGGGAGACTCTTCAGAAGCTTCAAGCTTTCCATTAATGGAGTCCGGGTCTGACTCCATTAATGCCGATTTTACCCATTCTTCACCATTTGACAGTGAGGCTTTCTCCTCCTCTATGGAAATAAACATTCCTCAAACACCCACCAAACACAGCACTCCAAAACGAAACAAAAGGGAAACAAAATAAATCTTAAAATATCAAAGAAATTTGGATCTTTAGCAAAACCCCAGACATTAAAATCCAAACTTTGGTCTTCTGTGGGAGAGAATTATAAAAAAAATGAATACAAACATGAAAATCAAACTCAAGATTCCACCAAATATTCGGGCCTATTTCAGCAGCAACAACAAAAAATAGTCACATGGACTGGTTAAAGCGGAATGGAATATAGGATGATGGGTTGATGTCTGAAAATGGAATGTTATCCACTGAGACTATCATTCTGTGTGGGAGTTGAGTAAAGTTGAAGTCTTGAAGATACTTAGCAAGTCAAATGACTATTAAACATTTATTAACGCCGAGTTAAAAGTATGTCTCTCACTCTCTCCGGAGAGATAGCATGGGTGCGGTTTACAAAAAAAATACTAGTACTAAAATCTTCTTTACTTTTAAAAGTTATTTGTAAAATCTCTGTGGTTTTTTAAATGGTGTACAAATGCCTCATCTTGCTTATTTTTAGACATGAAATAACATTTTTGCCCTTAGTTTTTCTCTATCTTCAAATTTCGCTCTTTTATTTGCATTTTTTGTTATACAAATAAATAAAATACTCCTTTGTAGTAAATATGCACCCTCTTTCTCAAATTAAAAATTTTCATTTATTTAATTTTCAAAAAAAATAATTTTTTATTTAGAAAATGTTACAAAAAAATGAATAATTAAAAAATGAAATAAAATACACTTTTTCATTATAAGTAAAAGTAAAAATATATACTCCGTATCTCGGATGAATTTGGTACCATCTGATCCAAGACCACAGTTGACTAACAAGAGAGGACAATTCTCAATAGTCTTATGTTTTGCAATGACTATCAACAAAAGCCAATGTCGACATTGTAATTTGTTGGATCAATCTTAACCAATCCATTCTTCATTCATGGTCAGCTTTATGTTGCTATTTCAATACTAAAGACAAGATTACAAATATTAGTTCTAAATGACAATAGAAATTATTGCAACCATATCAAAAATATTGTATATTCTAAAATCTATCACAAAAATTGGTATTAAAAAGTTTTAGAATTGACAAACATTTCGTTCGACCTCATACATCGCACAGGTAAAAATACTAATATATATCTAAAGTTGGGTTTATTGGTTTTTGTGTTGACATGTGGTATGTCACATATATATTTATCCACATGTGCACCCATCAATGAGGTTGAGATATTTCATTGGTCCATTTTATTGTATTACATTATATGAATCTTATTTTTTTGATATTAAAAAACATTACTTTAATTATATTTTGTATAAAACTTTTTCATTTTTAACGATTCTATAAAAATATATTTTACTATTGTAAAATATACGCCGTATTTTAAATATGCATATTGATTGTAATATTTAAAAAAGAGTATGCATAAGACTCTTTATTATTAATTCAAAAACATTTTAGTTTTAAAAAAACAAAAAACATTTTGCTTTCAAAAACATTAAATTGTTTTTGTCATTTTTTGTTTTAATTCATGTAGTATTTCTTGGCATTGTTTTAATTTTATTTATTATTCATTAAAAACCACTTTGATTTCAAAAAAAAAATTATTATATATTATTTTATTCAATGGACAATAATTTTGTATTAAAATTTTTAAAACACACATGCACATCATGCCATGTGTGCATAATATATTTTTTATTAAATAAATATTTTTATTTTAAATTTATATATAATCCTTTACTTTCTAACATTAAATAACCATTATTTTTCTAAAATTATTATGCAACCTTTTAATTTTTGACAGTAAATAACCAATAATTTAATAGACTTTTTGCATTTTAACTAATTTAAAAATATTTATTTCTTTATTAAGAATACAATACATGTGTTAAATATTCACAATTACATTATGTTAAATTTTTAAAAAGTTCTATAAACTTTATCAATCAAAAAACATCATTTTATACACAGAAGGAGAGAGTAAATTAGTTGCAAAAATCCGGAAAAAACACAGAAGGAACACTGGCCCCACAAAGGGAGAAAGATCTTAAAACAACAACTCCGCTCCCCAAAGTCCCAAACAGATCTCTCTTCCTATCTGTCCACTGTGAGCCTCTTTCTCCCTCGTCGCCGGGAGCAAATCTGTCGCCGGATTCCTCCGCACCGGAGCCCTCACTCTCGACGTGCATCTGAAGATATTCCTCCCTGGACTCCGCACCTTTCTCTCATAACACAGGCGGAGCCGGCGTATGTCCTGGCGTGCCATAGGCATTTGTCGTCGTATCCGGTCAACCATAGGGTTCGTGGAGTGGAGGAACACGCGTCTGAGGTGTTTCATACTGTCCGCCACACGATTTGTCCCCAGGTTAGGCGTCAACTATGTTTGAATGGTTGAGAATTTGATTTGTGCTTTTCTCACTCGTAAGTGTAATTATTAATCAGCTTGTCAAATCAATCAATTTTTTCTTAATGCTCAAATGAATTTCTATATGCATTTAATTTCCTATATATTGCAGTTACAAGTGATCAGATTATAATTCATTCCTTTTCCAGTTTCCTAGAAGTCTGCAGTAATATTTTTCATGTATATTGTTACTTTGTAGGTTTTTTTGTTGTTGATGTTTGTTTTTCCCTAAATATTTGAATGCTGTTGTTTCCATATGTGCACTAAATACAACTATATACCCATTTCTTCTTTAGAGCCTCGTATTAGTATCTGCTGCATATTTATATATGGTATTATTTCTGCCAAGGTATTGTAGAATTTATTCCTCCTTCAGATGACTAAAGTCCCATTGCAGATAACAAGGATTGACCGAATTCATTTTCAATTCAATTTATTTCAATAATGGTATAAAAGTTTAAAATAAAATTTATAATATTCAAAAACTATATCAAATGATCTATAAAACAAGAGTTGACATGATCATTTTTTTGAAACAAATTATTAACAAAAATAAGCAAAGAAAGAAGAAAATCTTTGACATGTGTACCGAGACTTTAGTTTTGGGACGGAGGGAGTATATGGATTCAATTTCTGTGTGTGGGATTATTAATAGGTTGTTTATGCAGAGATTTATGCAATGCACCGCGTAGCGAGTGTAGGCAATACTTCCAACTCGAGTAGGCCTCGGAAGGAAAAAAGGTTGACGTATGTGCTCAATGATGCAGATGATACTAAGGTGACTAAATTGACTACAAGTTTATTTTAAGCTTTGTATCTTTTTTTTGGGCGGTATGGAAGCTCTTCTCTTGGTGAACAAATTGTCCCCACTTTTTTGGGTTTATGTGGAAGTTTAGCAAGTAGGTATCAACGATAAGAAGGTGAAACAAATAGGTGACAACTATGAGTTGACTTTTAGCAAAATGATCAATGGAGGAAGACATCCCATTTCATGTTTGAATTGATTGTTTCATATACTTCTTATCCTGGGAGAATATTTTCTTATTTTGGGAAGTATTGTAGCCGAGAGGAAAGATTAATCATATCAAACTATTGAAGGAACTTTTGGCCTCATTTGAAAAGTACATGATGAGATGAGAACATGAAAAAACTATCATAAAATAGTGACAATGTAGGATGGAGCAAGATAATGAGTTGTGCACTTCTTAAAGTTTTCAAGACATTCTTGTTATAGGATTATATTAGAATAATAATGAGGGTCATATGGAGGTATTTTTATGTAATTTAACTCTCTAATGTTGGCACCATTGTTTGATAGAAAAACACGGCTAGAGAATATGCTTATAGCGGCACTTATCCCAAACTCTACTTTGTTTTGGTATTTTATTGAGTTTGTTGTGTTGATGATCCTTTCAAGAGTCTCACCAGAAATCCATGGCCTATGTTCATTGATTTTTAAATACTCCCATAGTCTTTAAATTTAGATGTCTAAAAAAACTCTACACATTTTACTTGCCCTTTTAGGGAATAGTGGAATACATGTGTTTCATTCAACCACACTTTTCACCAAACATCATTTACTTTTTTACACTTTTTTTAAACTCCCAAAGTCAAAGTGTCATGGTGGATTGGAGACAAGGGGAGTAATATAGTTGGTCAATGCACAAATATTTCTCACACACGAGCTTGAAACTGTTTTAATATTAACTCTGTATGGATCCAATCCCTAGACTTCAAACTTTATGGAAAAATACTGAATGATGATCATATGGAAAAAATGAAAAAGGAAAGCCAACCACATTTTGCAAAATTGTGCATTTTTACAGTTAAATTCGTTTTAAGTTGAGGTCCTTTCATATCACTTTTGTTATTTTTTCACTTTTGTGAACCAAAGTGGTCTTTGATGAAAAATGTTTAATGTATGTTTTGCACTTTCGTACATACATGGACACCTCCTACACCCTCAATCCAATATTTAGTTCCTAAGCTCTTTAACATAGGCTCTCTCCCTAGGATGTAGCAGGAGAATAACATACACATGGTTCTTGAACCCTTCCACGGATTTGAGTCATGTAATTTGTACTCTCTCTGTTCCATTTTGGTTGTCTCATTTATTAAGTGGTTAAAATTTAAAATGAGTATTAAAAATGTTTTCTTCTTAACATAATAACATTTGTGCAAACCATTCTTGGGGCATTGTCTTTGGGATGGAGGTAGTAGTGTAGTACACCATATTAGCAAACCTTTTAGAATTGATATTCAGGCTTTGCTGTTGTATTTGCACATCTTATTCTTTTTTTTTCTTAATTTAGTAAATTTCACAAATGATCCCTCATAACAAGGGTTTTTTCATATAAGGTCCTCAATTTGAAGAAATTACGGTCGTGAATCGTGATCCTCTATATTTAAGAATAATTTTATAGTAAGTCCTTTGACCCAATTACCCAAATATTGTTTTCCACATATATCCTTAAAGGATTGATAATGGAATAGTTCTCAAATATTGAAGACCACAAATGCAATATCATAGAATTGAGGACTATATATGGAAAACCCCTTGTTATGAAAGACTATATATGGATATTTACTTCACATCCTACCACACTTTTCAATTTATCATTGCAATTGCTTCACAACCTTCAATTGCTTTACATTTTCCCCTGAAATGCAAGTTAATCAATCCATTGTGTACTGGACGACGTTGGTGTTACTTTCCTTTTCTCTGTTAAGTATATTTGGCTCTAACTGCTTATACATAAATTATACGGAGTATGTTGCAAGAGAAGTGTTTAACTTTTTGTTCATTTTGTTTATCTGCTGCAGCATTGTGCTGGCGTGAATTGC